GGCACAAGCCAGCAGTTGGTGAGAAGGGTTTCACCTGAATCGGCTTGACACTGGTGGAATCCGCTTGGTACAGTTCTGGGAGATGTTGAGATGTGAATTTCTTAGTTCATCCACGCTCACTCCCACCATTTGATCAGGCAACAGTTTACAAACATGTATGTGGTATCTATGTGGTCACCTGGTCAGACCTGAACTTGACTTCTGACAGGCGTAGACGAATCGTTTGCTGTTTGGCTGACTGGTGCTTAGCAGGGAATATGGGAATGGATACAGGGGTGGTTCATTCCCTCATTCCCTACTAAGCACGAGTCTGTTGGTCAGTGTGGATGTTACTTTTTGAACCCATCTCTTTGGACACTTCATGTGAAGATAAACAAGGCTCCCCCCTGGGCCAGACCCTGTATTCCCGGAAGCAGTGACCACTCACTACCAGGATCCTGTTAAGATCTTGTTAAAGCATATTACTATTACACTCTAATAAGATCATGTATTAATATTGTTAGTGAACCACTAGCCAAACCCATAGCGTAAAACCTCCAAACCTATAGCTGCCCAAAGAAAGGCGCAAAGGAAGACAATTTTTTGCACACTCCCTGTGAGCCTTGAACTTGTTCAAAATCCCTAGCAACATTGGCAACATCTTCTGACTTAAGACTTAAGACTCCTTCCCTGAAAGGAATTTCAGGGGATCCTCGAAGTGTTATTCCTTGGCTTTGCAGAAGGTTATCCTCGTTCACATCTGCCCTGCTGCGCCAACGCTGCTGGACATGTCTACAAGGATGGGTTTGAAATAGTAGCTCTTTCAGAAAGAAGCTGTCCCAAAACCAAACCCACCCACCAGCGTCACCACAACAATAAACCCATCCAAAAGCTCACCACAATTCAGAAGCCAAACACCAAGAACAACTCACCCATAAGACCAAGACCATGACCAAGTATGATTCTTGAGCAAGGACTACGTAGTGCTTGACAAACGTGGTAGAAATTTGGAAATAAAAGGTCATTGGCCACTGACTCAACCACCTCAACCCCTACGACAGCAGCACTGCCGTGTCACCTCTGTCGGTTCCATCGCCGACTCCTGGTGCCGCAGCGCGGCCGCCGCTGCGGCGGCCACGTCTTCGCCCGGCAACGCGCCGGACGCAGCGCCCTGCGCCGCGGTGCGCGCGCGGGCGAGGGCCAAGTCCTGGTCGAAGCAGCGGTGGATGGATTCGGCGTGAATTCAGCCAAAGGCCTCACATTGAGCGGTTCATTCCCAGGTGTTCCGACAGCTGACCTGTGGATCTCCCTGCTCGGGAAGGCAGATGTGCATTCGAAACTCACGAAGAGTCTACGCATCTCTTCTCCCTCCCTCTCTCTCTATCTCTCTCTCTGCATCGACCTCTACTGCTCACCTCTTCCTCCTCCACCTGCTAAACCACCACGCTGAAACCCGGCCCTCCGCTCCTCCACCACCTCCAGCGCCGCCCACGCCAACCTCTCGAGGTGCTTGGGTGCCGCGTCGCTCGGGCCGCGCCCGGCCGCGAGCAAGGCCAGCACGTGCGCCAGGCGGAGGTTGATGGCATCGGCCAGTGGCCTCCGACGCTGACCGTGGGTGATTGATTTGAACACCATGGTGAGATGTTGATTTCAAACCATGCGTTTCCATGCACGTCACATGGATGATCTTATCTAAATAGCAGCTCTCAAAAAGCTTCTCAAACACATTTGCCTTCATCTCAAAGCTGCAAGAGTGGTTGTTGGCTCGCACGTTGTAGGAAAACATTTGGCGCCATGGAACTTGTCACTGAGACTACTGAGACTACTGCGACTCAAATGCCTCCTTTGAGCGCCCAAATGTTGGGGATTCTTGAGGTTCCAACCGGTGTTTGACACACATCTGTGGTGCACCCCTTTCTAGGGAACCCTAGCCCGGTGTATGCGCTGTTCTTCAGCCAACACCAGGGTGTAGGAGAACCCCTTCATTGATTCATGGTCATCCCTTATTTGATCCAAACCGTTTTGCTCTTTTAACCAGCTTTGCCATCTTTAGCTAGCTGTTGCAATGATGATCAATTATTAAATATGCATCTCTGATAGTTGAGCTTTGTCCAAGTGATTGGGGCAGTTCCAGGTCCAAAAGCAATGAATTTGGACCCAAATGCAACGAATACAACTTTGGTGTGGATCTTCTCGTCAAATCAACACTGCCCCGAAACAACTCAAAATAAATATAACCTCTCAAGGGGTGTCCACCAGCCCTGAACCAATGATCCATTTCCATCCATTTCTCCAGGCGCCCACAAAGGATGACCTCGAAGCTTTTCCTTCTTTTGAACCAGCATTGCTCCTCCCTTCAGGCACGCCTGTAAGGGCTACCATCCTCCACGATGATAGGGTACCTGAGGTGCCAACTCACGCGGAGCGCGAGGTGTCCTTTTATGCATTGCCCATCCATTTACTTCTTGGGAGTGGAATCATATGGAATCATACAGCTAAGCGGTTGATGTGGGCCTCAGCCGCGTTCGTACTTTGAAGCCAGCCCTCCAGTCGACTTACCCTAAGAGAGTGTGTGTGCTTCTGTCTTAATGTTTGACCTGAAAATGGACCCCCACTGGAGTACCAACTGGGATTGTCGAAGCTTCGTGTCCCTCGACCACTCCTCAAAACATGAGACTTTCCCCACCAGAATGCGGAAGTCCAAATCCACAGCAACGGACGATGTTGCGCCATCGGAGAAGGAGTGCATCGGACCACAGGGTGCCCCGAATCTGCAGGTGCACCCCCCTTAGAGAAAAAAGAACCTCTCCCTCTACCAGCCTCTAACCACCTCCCAGAAGGTGTTCAGCTTCAAAAGAAGCTCCTCAGCTGCAGAGCTTTCCTTCCGATCCTTCCTTCGGCCCGGCAGCTGGGAGGTCCTTCGAGGTCCTTCGGCCCCGGCGCGGCCCTCAAGACCCAAGCGGCTCCTTCCGCTTCACCAGGCCGCTCAAAGTGCTGACCTGTGCGGCGGTCGGCTGGCTGCCCAGCTGGACGCCTTGCCTCAGCGGATGGAGTCAGGATAAGGCGCCACATCATGGGACGATGGTTTTTGTTAGATGTTTCTGGGTGTTGTTGATGTAGAACATTGTAGAACGAATCTCGGCAGTTCGATTCCAGTGGGATTGTGATTGATTTGTTTGGGCTTTTCACCTTCAAATCAAAGGCTTTTGCTTGAGGAATGGTGCAGAGATGGGAATATATATGACTCCTGACCCATGCTCCTGACGGAATTCTGCCTTTTCGCTCATGCATCATGCGTGAACATCAATTCATCATGCCTGGAAGATTCGGAACCAATCTTCCCCCATGGCTTTTGTCCACACATCCTCTGATGTAGGTTCACCTAAGAGGTTGGGTCAGGGTGATTGGTCTTGTTCAATTTATAGTTCCTTTTGGCACTTATGGGGATCCCTGAGATGACCCACGCACTCCACTCCATTCGGCCAAAGGGGGAAGCGCTCTCCGCTGGGGGCCTAGACCCGGTGTTTCAAGTGTCGTTCACTCAGAATGGGAACAACTCCTTGCTCCGGTGGCCGTGGCCGCACCACGGGGGGGTGCAGCTCCAAAAGAAAAGCTCCAAACAAATAGGCCCTGCACCAACATCAGCTGGGTTTCAAGCTCTGCTCCAGTACAGCTGCCGCCCTTAGGCGGACCAAACCTGTCCACAAGCTGGCCAAGCGAATTCTCTATGACTTTGGTCTGAATGCAGCGAACCATAACAGAATCCAGGCTCCTTTTGGCACGAATTGGTTTTGGATTCTTTTTGAGGGGAAAGGTTGCGGACAAGACTGCTGCCCTCAACTATTCCCGGTCTGTTCAGGCTCTATTTGTCATGGCGGCATGAAATTCGCGCAAAACAGCAACCCCATTTTTGGGCGGACGATTGGGCGTCAAGTCAAGTTGGTTTGCAGAGACGATCGTGTCTTACATGTTTTGCGATGCCCGGGCCGCGTGAGAAAAGCGAAACCAAACCGAACCCATCCCCAAGGCCTGCTCCTTTTCAATAGGGTGCATGCAGAGCTGCCGTAGTCTTTAGAAGTTGGTTCGACCAGGAGCCAACCAGAAAATCCCAACTTTTGAGAGCAAAACCCTGAGATTTGAGCAAGTGATCGCCAGTGTCAGTGATCAAAACACAGAACTGGAGTTCAATTGTTGACCTTGTTTTCGGTGCACAACCTCGTCGACGAGTTCATGCTAAGACTGCACATGTTGCGAGTCAGTTCCCCGTGAACTGGGGATCAGCTGAAGTAAGGCACACCGTGCCACAACACTGCAAGCTAACATCCGAGAATCCAAGAACTAGAGCTGGCAGCTGGACCCTGCAACAGGTCACCCACCACATCATGTATTAGATCACAGTGTGTCCAACAATGGGACCTTCCGTGCGGATGGCCTCCAATACCCCCCCCAGAAGCGGCTCCGCCTGGCTTGCTCTGGTCGGTCTTCCCCTTTACAGCACCCCGCGGCAAAGGCTCCGCTTGCATCCACGCACGCAAGCAGAAGTCCCACATCTCCGCGTCCGTCTCGCAGGTCTCCTCCGTCGAGGTCCCGCTGCTCTTAGGCGGGCGGGCGAAGGTGGCGCTTGTGCCCACGTGTTCTGACATGAATGATGCGTGGGGCGACACTGCGGACCTTGCATGAAGTATGTCCACATTTGAGAGGTCATGGAAAAACAGCTTCGTTGCTGTTTCGCGTGGACTCACTTCCCTGAGCAACGCACCACGTCAGGCCCGCAGAGGCCCAAGACATCAACGGCCCCACGAACACACCCTATGCCTGTTTCATTTGAGCAGTTTCAGGGAAGCACTGCTAAAAGGCTCTCACACATTATCACTTCATGCAGCCTGCTGTTCAATCAAGCCCACCTGAACAGTTCACCTCCAAAAAGGGCTCCAAAAGCAGCTACTCACGTGAGTTGTCTTCGTTGTTTTCATGAAACGTCCAATGGTGCAGCCAATTGCTTGGCCCATTTTGGCCGGCCTCGCCCCTGCCGTTCCACCTGAAAGCAAACTGCTGCGGAAACTGTTTGCTCACTGCGCGCGTTCGTCACTGCGCCACACGTTGGCGCTTTGACCTTTGGTCGACCACAAAGTTGGTTCCTTCAAAGGAATCAGGTCCTCAGGGTTTTCTGGGCAGTGAGAGGCACAGAATGTCTCTTGGTAATCTTTGGGACTATATGCCTCCTGACCACCTCACGGTCAAAAGTCTGCATGACAATTTGGCAGTGAATTTGGAAATTGGATGGCTGGGTGTATAAAGAAAACAGCATTGCTAACATATGCTATTCAATATGCTACACATAAATAAACTAAACATTGAAACACCTTACCCTTACATAACAAAGAAGGAACAACCATGTGCTCTTAGCTTTCTGAGGCTCCAATAAAGGTCACGGACTCTGGGATGGTCAGACTGACCAAGGACCTACAGCTTCGAAAGGCACCATGGTCGATGCAAGTGACGGAGTCTGGGATCGTCACCTTCGAGTGGCTGGCCAGGAATCAACTGGTAAAAAAGAGAGAGCAAACTGTATTATCCAAAAGGAGATCAGTTATTTACATCCATCTGCCTTGAACTGGCCAACAGAACGACTCTTTCCCCCAAAGGCAGGAATCGCCCATAGAGAAAACAACTCTATACGCATTAAAGCAAACCCAAGTCACACTAGTCAACGAGCTGCAGTTCCCAAAGGCATCAGGCCCAATGAAGTGCAAGGCGTCGGAGAAGGTCACTTCAGTCAGCGAGCTGCAATTGCTAAAGGCACTACTGCCAATCCGAACAACTGAGTCTGGGATTCTCAATGTTACCAACGCGCTGCATCCAGAGAAGGCATGTTCAGCAATGGAGCTGATCGACTTCGAAATGACCAGGCTTTCGAGCAAGCTGCAATTGGCGAATGCCAGGCGCCCAAGGCGGATCACGCTTTCTGGGAGTTGGAGGCTGGTCAGGGAGCTGCAGTTTCTGAAGGCACTGCACCCAATGCAGGTCACAGAATCATGGAGGGTCAAGCTGGCCAATGAGCTGCAATGGCTGAATGCACCAGGCCCAATGTCAATCACTGAAGCGGGGATTGTCAAGCTGGCCAAAGCGCTACAATTCCTGAAAGCATACTCGCCAATGTGTGTCACAGAGTCCGGGATGGATACCGTGACCAAGGATCTGCAGTTTTCCAACGAAAAGCGCTCAATGCTGCCAAGAGAGCTCGGAATTGACAAACTGGTCAAAGAACAGCAATTGCTGCAGAAGTACTCCCCAATGTGGATGACAGAGTTTGGGATGGTCAAGCCCACCAAGGAGCTGCAGTCTCTGAAGGCACCGTGCTCTATGCAAGTCACTGAGGTGGGGATGGTCAAGCTAGCCAAAGAGCTGCAGTTCCTGAAGGCTTCGATTCCAATGTAAGTGACAGAGTCGGGGATCGCCAGGCTTACCAACGCGGTGCAATTGCAGAAAGTGTTGCCCTCAATTCGTGTGATCGACTTGGACAGTGTCAAGTGAGTCAAAGAGCTGCAGTGACTGAACGCACTACGGCCGATACCCGTCACAGAGTCAGGCATATGCAAGCTTTCCATTGAGCTGCAATGCCTAAAGGCGTGTTCCCCGATAAAGGTCACAGAGTTAGGCATTGTCACGTCTGCCAATGAGCTGCAATTCCTGAAAGCATGCTCTCCAATTGAAGTGATAGAGTCCACTAGCGTCACTCGTGCCAGACGCCTGCAATTCTCAAAGGCGAAACGGCCAATAGTTAAAGTGGAAGCCGGGATGCTGACCACAAGCAGGTCCTCAACTTCCACACCAGATTGATGCCAGCTGCTGCATTCCACTGGCCTGATGCCTCAGTCGAGTCAGAAACATATCCTCTGGGAAAGCCGAAAGCGACTCGCGAGCATCTTTTTTTGGGCGGGTGTTGATCAAGTGCTCCGTTAGTTAGTTACTGTCAAGTCTAGTGACCCTACTGCCATATATAGTATAGAAATGTATATAATATATTCAAACTCACCACGTGTATCCACTTGCTGTTTCTAGACGCTATATTATCCTTCAATTTTGTTTCATGATTGCCTGTTGTGAAAGCACTCCTCCGGAGGCATCTTGCAGTTAATCAGCCAAAGTTGGCTTCAGCCAGCTGCAAACAAACAAACAGCTCAGGAAAGTCTCAAGGGTCAACTTTGGTCCAGGCAAGATGCTGAAGAGGACTTGCACTTCAGTCCCAGCGTTGATGCCCAACTCCGCCACAGTGGCTTCATCATCCTCCAGCTTGGAAACACCCAGCACCACTTCCTCACCATTCTTGCGCAACCCGAAGCCACCCAAAACACCGTCTTGTGAAGGGATGTCAAGGTCCATGCCCTTTGGCTACACGCTCTACGGTGTGTAGTGTTCCTTGCTTTTGGGTTCTTGGAGAATACGCACGCCGTCTGATTCATCCATTTCACTTCAACTTCATTCATTCACCTCTCCTTTTCATCACCGATTCACCCGTCCGGCCCCGTCCCCCGTCCCGAGCGTCTATGGTGGCCAACTGTCGGGTGAGCTGGTCGCACAGAATGGAACTCCGCAAATGGCGCTTCAACTCCTTGAGAGTGGCGTCCTCGGCAGAACCGGTGGATCAGTGCGAAGAGGTAGAAAAGCATGTGGTGCCCAAAATGGGTTTGACCGAAAGGGCTCTTGGGACAATAAAGGTGTATACGGGAAAATGGCAATCTATAAACTTGCCGTGGTTTGCTCATAGTCCCCAAACCTTGGATTTCTGATTTCATGCTGCATGAACTCAGGATGTTTACTGTTTGTTCTGCACAAAAACAATGCGTCCAATCCCTGCAATCTTGCATAATCTTGCATAATCTTGCTGACCATTGCGTCTCAAGTGTGGAGTCCCCTAGTTTGGGGAGGGCTGCGGAAGTTTTGTTTGGAGTCAACTCCTGTTGTCAATGCTATATAGGTCCGGAAATGCGCAGCGCCCACCAACAAAAACTCAACATAGCCCGGCCCAGCCTATCAATTTCAAGAGGGGTATCGCATTTTTGTTGCAAGCCCTATCGTTTTTTAGGGTTGATTTTGGGAATCAGCACTCCCAACATGAAGGCCTATAGCCACGCACCCGCAATGGCCGCTTCTTCTTAACTGATTTGTGACAAAGCGTTCGGTTTTCTGCTTCGCCTTGCTACTGAGGCCAAAGACCTGCCGTTTTGAGGCAAAAACAGGAAGGCAACATCTAAGGGAGCACAAAGGATACATATCTTTCTCAAAGGATATATCAAAATACCTATACAAAAGAACAGAACAAGTAAACACATATATCAGAACTATCCAATCCACGGTCTTGTATGGTGTTGTTGTTGTTGTTGTTGTTGTTGTTGTTGTTGTTGTTGTTGTTG